ATCTTTACAGTAATTAACCAGTGTAAATTTAAATAGGTGAGATAAATAGTCATATATTAACAGGCTTACTAAGTACAGGCAAATAGGGAAATGATAGTCAAAGCAGTATGTTCATGTTTTTCAGACTTTTCTTTGTCTCCATAGTTTATTTTTCTGGTTAAAAAAATTAAGACTCTTCCAAAAAGCTGTTCAGTGCACACAGCTTAAACACTATCTCTGAATGTAGTTCTCCAGAGGAATTACAATGTTTGTGAAGAGAAAGGGCAGTTACAGCCTATCTTTAAAATCTGATTTAGCCAGACAATGCAGATGTCTAAAACTGAATGGTGTTGGATAGAGCCTGAAACTAAAATTCTAAAGCTTGTGTTTTATATTCAGATTTGAGTGTGGTATACATAGAGTTAGAACTTACAGCAGGATGATCTGATTGGTATTTTTAAGTTTAACTTATATTTATTAAACAGTTATGTGAATTTTGTATTTATTAATCTAAGTATCAGCTTTAAAACATTGATAGTAGTAATAAGGAAAATAAGTAAGCGGTGATGTACCTATAACACAAAATGCATACTTCATGATAGAGGATTCTTGACTCTGGAAAATGTGAAAAGTGAAAATAAAGTCTGCCAGTGATTTTTAATATGAAAGAATTTCTATCAAAATTAAACACACACTTTGAGGGATGTGTAAAACCAAATGTGCTTCAGATTGTGTAACAGGAAATTATTGTACATTGAATTGAGCTACGAACTTTAGCAACGGGTTAACTGGTGTTAACCAGTACAGTTTACTTTTGACACTTTATATTGCTTTACACTCTTAAAATTTAGGTTATGTGAATTAAGGACAAATGTTTTGTTAATTTGGAACCAGTGACCAAGCTTGAGGTACTTAATTTATGTCACCTCTGCATATGTGGGTGGCCAGTGATTTCACACTCACTTCTCTGTTCCTCCTACAAGCTGTAGGAAACCATCTCTGTCACTGTAAAGAATTGATTCCAGTTGGCTGCTACAAGTGTTTGCTTTTGTCTTGCATCAAAAGATGTTCAAGTTACTGTTAGTGGCATGTCTTTAGAATATCTTGCCATCTGCTGCACAGGACTATACGTTTGCTGGTTTTTCCAAATTTGAGCGTTAACTAATTAGGACCATGGAAAAAATTAAACAAAAGTTGAGGAGGGAAAAAGTAATGGGACAGCTGAAAAGAATCATTGGCATTCCAATACTCTTTAAATAAACACAAGCTGTTTCATGCACTGTACTTCTTTTGAGCCTTACTTTTTGGTTTGCAGTATACAGCATTTATCTAGGGGATCATATCTATTTTTGCCAAAATGTTTAGAAAAATAAGAAGTGTTTTACTATAAAGGCTCTGAAAATGCAGCCTGACTTTGTAAAACAACAGAATTTGGAGCTTGATCACAAGCAGAATACTAGAAATGTGAAGTTTAAAAAAATTTCTTTCCTTCTATTTTCTTGAAAATAAGAATATTTCATTCTGAAAAGATTTTAGGGAAATGTTTGATAGGTAGATATCTCAAAGGACTGGTAGGATAATTTCAGTCTCAATGCTGTCCATTTAATCCCAAGAGCAGCTCAATCAGCAGGTTTTTAGTTATTGTGAGAGATGAACAGCAATGTTTCTCTAGGGGCTAAACTGTCATCAGGTGAATCTGGAAACTGAGCTCTAAAGAATGAGATTTGTTCTTTGCTACGTGTAATCTTCATTACAATTCTCTGTTAATTAGTATTTGTCTGTGCATTTAGAGTTCTTTCTGTGGTGCCTAGAGCTGTCTTCTCTGAGCCAACCAATGCAAGGAGCCTAGGGGGTACTCCCAAGAGTCAAATTTGGCACCTGATGTCATAATTTAAAACTGAGTTAGGAAGCCCCAAAGTCAGTGAAGTTAAAAAATACACTTGGGCTATTTCTGTGTAATAGCTGTTTTTAAAATTGGTATGTACAATAAAAATGCAATTAGATCTGGGAGATCAAACAACTTTTAAAAAACCCAATAACAATAGCTAACAAACAGGGGGTTTTGTTTTAAATTTTTGTTGTCTTTTTCATTTAGAAATCCCAGTGATCAGATAAAGCTTTGTTGTAAAGGGAGAGATACAGATAGCGCTGTGTTTGAACAGCTTCATCCAGCAGTGGGGTACATCCAACTGCTCTGGTGTAAGTGCTTCTCTTGGGGACACTGATTCAACAACTCATTAGCCAGTCAGCATGTTCAGCTTGAAATAGAGGCTTAAAATATCATGTGGTTTGAATATTCTTCTTAATGTAAAGATATACATAAATGCAGGAGGACTTGTTGAATCAGAACTAGAATATTTTGTGCCGAAGGCAGGCAAATCCATCAGATTAGAGCAAAATCTACTGAAATGCTATGGGTTCTGAGGTTTTATGCTGATATTTAAAACACTTAGAATATCTACATTGTGTAAGTAATCCATATCTCAGAATTCCTAGCTTGAAATCTGTGAAAGTCTATGAATGTGAATACAATTCATATTATTTTAAAATAAGTATCCTCTCTGCTTGTTTTCAGGGGTCTACCATAATGTGAACTTAATTAAGAATTTTACCTAGTTTTCCTTTCTTGCTTTAAAAATTCATGTTCTCTGTAAGTGTCCATGCCTAATACAAACCATTCCATGATTTTTAAAATATGTCTGACATAACAAAACCATCATAACATATATTCAGTATGGGTTACAAACATAACTATTGTTTTCCTCTCTGTAATAGAGCTTTCTTGGCTTTTTTCTAATCTTTTCCAGAAGGCCAACATGTTTTATATGAAAACAAAGTTGGACTCATAAGCATCTGATTTTTTTTTTTTTAACATTGCCTTAGATGATAAAACCTTGACTTTTCATTCTTCCTGTGCAAGGTTAAGCTTGTGTGTGTGGCCAGGGTAGAGCTGCTGTCTGGGTGAGGGAACAAGCCGTTGGTCTGGCTGAACCCCAGTGTGCTGTGCAGCACTCACACACTGAGTTAGATGATGATACTGGCAAGTTGGGTTCCTGCCACCTCTTTCTGTCAGGTTGCACCTGTGACTTCAGGGTCAGCCTCTCCTTTTTCTCTCTTCTCCTCTCCGTCCATTCTGCTTGTCCCCCTCACACTTCTGCACATCTTTTCCCCAAACAAGCAGAATTTTTCCTTAATGCTTCATTCATACAGTTACAAAACTTTCTTTGTAGTTCATTAATTTGATTTTTAATGTTCTTTTCATTGTAATATCTTACTTATAGCAGAATTTATGGAAAAATCAAGATACATTGTTGTTAGTGGTAAAGCATACAAGAGCCTGTTTTGTTTATGTGTGTTTAAGATGAAAAACATTTCTGCAAAATCATTTTCTCCCATTAGCAATGAAACTCCTCATGATCTTTGCACTTCAGACACATTTGCTCACTTAAATTTCAAGTTATAAGTACAGTAATATGTATTTCTTAATAAAAATGCCTCACGTAGTAGAGTACAGTAAAAGCACAAAATTTGAATGCCACCATGTGTAACTAAGATATACTAAGATTGATAAGCAAGAAATAAGTTACCTGAAGTTTTTGAGTCCAGTAGTCTGTCTTAGAGTTTACTCAGTGCAGCTGAAATGGGCATAGATCTTTAGGATATCACAAAGAATGAAAATCACAATCACATCTGTTTGTTAATATGTTTGGAAGTCTTGTAATTTGGCAGTAAATTATACGTCTATGTGTACTGGCCCATTTTAACCTAATTATATCCTTATTTCTCTAGGTGTTAACTAAAGCCCAAAATGATCTTGGGGGCTTATGGCAAGGAAAACATAACTGACTTGGCCACAAAACAGCAATGTGGAAGTATTATAATTACAGATTATTCTGCAAGCCTTTGTCATTGCTTAAACTTGCATTCTATCTCTTTCTGTACGTCTATGTGTACTGGCCCATTTTAACCTAATTATATCCTTATTTCTCTAGGTGTTAACTAAAGCCCAAAATGATCTCTTTCTAAATGCAGTACATAATTACTTGTATACAAGTTTTGTTCACAATATGCTTGAAGTATTAATTTTGAAGGCTAGGACAATTCCACAAGTGAATTGTGACTTTTTTTGTATAAGCTTGTATCTCTAGGAGTCCACGTCACTTATTGCAAAAGAAAATCAAAACGTGGGGGGTGATGAAGCCTTGTTTTGGGGTTAGTGTGAATACAGCTTCCCTACCCCAGTGGTGCTGTGTGGATCAGGGGTGGGAGCACTCACCCTGTGTGCTGCTGTGGCTGCTGCCTCGTCACGCCCTGCGTGATGCCCTGTGCCAGCCAGTCTGGTTGTGGGTGCAGGGGGCATCTTGGCTGATTTCTACACACTGCTGCTGCAGCATCTGCAGGAGATTCTGAGTGTCAAGCACTTGCTGTTGGCTGCTGAGGAGCTTTTGAACTACTTTAACACCTTTGATTTCAAAGATGTTAAATTGATAACATAATTTGTTTGTTGGAGATGGTTCTGAGTGGTGTTGTCAATACAGATGGCATCTGAACAAAGATTTCTAGACACTGCAATATTCAGCTTTGTTATGCCTAAGAGTCCAGCAGCCTTTCAACAGCCAACCCGTGCATGCACGAAGAACCTCTGTGCTTCTAAAGTTGTTATATTGATTATAGATTCCTGGGTGCCTTTGGACAGCCTGCTGTCAGAGCTGGAAGGCTCAGGAATACTTAGCACGCTCTCCAGAGCTTGTCACCCTCCAAACATAACCAATCCCTTACTGGCAAACAATTTACAGAAGTTTTGAACTGAACTAAGCATTATAGGGTTTATAGATAATACACTATAAATCTACAAATAGAAAATATGTACTTGCAAGAGTTACTTTTTCATTTCTGCTTGCAATATACATGTGGTATTGACAACATTGTTATCTCAAAATACACAGTTCAGACTGTAAAAATCAGTTTTGCCAAATCAATTTTACTGTTTCATAACTTATTTGAAATTGTTGTGTGAACAGATTTAAAATACAGGAGGAAATCCAAGCACAAGTACTAATCGTGGAGCATTAGGATTTGAGAGAACATATGTTCAGAATCAGGTAAGAACAATATAAAACTATTCTTTTTCTCTTGCAAATATATTCCCCTGTTAGAGTTACCTCCAGGATTGAGTCTACATGCTGAAATATCCATCTCAAACTTGTTATTAGTGGATGTTACATCTTCATGAAATTCCATCTTCCTAGGGTGAGAGATTACTCAAGTAACTAGTACTACAATGCTATCAGCTCTCGTATTTAAGACTGCAAATACATGAACATTTTAAAATGTGGTCTCGAGGCGTGTCCGACTTGTCCTTGGCACGCAGGGCTGGCCCTGTCCCCGCTGCCCCCCGGGCCGTGCCCGGCGTGGCTGCGAGCGGTGCCCGCGCTCCGCAGCGCCGGGCTCGGCCCGCAGGGGGCGCGCGACGGGAGCGCGCACCCCGCTCCTCTGGGGCTCCCGGCCGCTGCTGCTGCCGCCGCACAGCCTTGGTGCTGCTGCCTGCTTTTGTGCAAGCTTATTCTTTGCATTGTTGCCAGAACAGCCTTCTGAAGCATGTATAAATTTTTGGAACAAAGCATCAGGACATCATCCCTGAAGATAGCATCTGCCTTGTGTTGTGGCCATTTTATAATAAGTTGGATAGCCTGAGACTAGTTTCCTTTAAATCTACATTAGGATATAAGAAAGTAAGCTGAAATAATTTCTAGAATAAAACTGGCTAAAATAAAATAATGTGTACTGGTAACACCTGTTAATTATTTCAATACTACAGTTACTAAAGGTGCAAAAGTGGGGTAAAAAGATACCAATTTAACCTAATGATCTCCCTCTGGAGACGTATGAGCAACTCGGATGTGCCCTACAGCTGCAATCTCCCTTATTGCCTACAGAGTAGTTTGGCAAAGGTGCTGTGCCAAAACACTGGTGAGCTACTGTCATGCCATAGGAATTATGACATTTAGAAAGCACTTATTTAAAATCCCTCTTTATGCATGTCCTGTCTGTAACAGTGTTCCATCCAAGAAGAGCTTCTAGGTAACACTTTAATTTGGAGTAGTGCCAGTATGATTTTGGTGGGTGGTTCAATAACTTAGTAGTGTTTCCTTGGTGTTGAGAGAGAAAACTTCCTGGGCAAAAATGAGTGCAATAGGCTCAAAAGGTTATTAAATAAGCTCATGTAACACAGTGCTTGTTTTACAGTCCTTATTTCTACTTCTAATTTTCTCCTTTCCTACTTCGAGAGCGTTACAGGGTATTCATACAGCAAACACCCTAACAATGAGATTAACATTTAGTTTTAATAATTTTTTTCTGAACAGCTTTAGCTCAGACAATTTAAACTTGCACAAAATATTTAGAAAGAAAAACAAAAGACATACAAGGGAAAAAAAATTCTAATACTAAAATTAAAAAAAGGAAAAATGTTAAAAGCAAGAAGAATCTGCTGACAGACTTTCTGATGACACCTAATAATTATTGTGAATGGACATGTTCCATCCTTACCTTATTCTTTTGCTTCCTTTCAAGAAAAAAATAAATACCCATTTCAACAAAATTAAGAACTTTAATTCTCAGTTACTTTGTGGAAAAGGTACAAAAGTGAAACCAGGACTCATTTTGTTACAAGTCTGTCACTGGTATTTAATTGAACTCTTAGCAGTTAATCATTGTGGTCTCGTAAGTAGGTTTATCCTGCCTTGTACTTCCATTCCCACTGCAATTGTGTGTGTTCTGTTTCAGGAAAGAGAGGGGTTTTTTTCTCAGAACTGCTTCAATCTTAAATTTTAAATTTTTAATGAAAATAAACAAAATAATATTCTGTACAGCTTTTTAAAATAAATTTTACTGAAGAGGGTCTTGCAGTCAAAAATGTTTCACACAATCCTTTATGTTCCTTATTAAAATGTGCCATTGCTGCTATTCAGTGCTTGTGTGGGAGTAGCCACACAGGACCAAGGCAAATTAACAGGAGTTTAAGTAAGTACATGTAGTACAACTTTTTTCCTAATTTTTCTTAAGAACAGATCCTGTGTTTAAAATCATTACTATGTCAGATTAATGTCACTGGTTCCTCCTTAGTGGATTTTCTAAACACTAGCATTTTATGAGTGTGCCAAAGCAGTTTGATTTGACTAGAAAATCTGGTTCCTTTTGTAAGAACCAGTCTGTGTTCCTTTTATGTTTGAACTCTTTAACAAAAAATCTAAATTTAAATTAAAAAAATAATTGATAGGGCTCTGGGCTTCATTCATGAGGATGTAGCTGCATTAGAAGATACAGATAGCAGTTTTACTCTCGGCCTGTTCTGACTCTTGACTCTGCATTGCATGCTTTCCTCATTTCTGAGCATTTTTCTTCATGTTTCACTGCCATATCCTGTGATTTACAGCATTCCAAGACTTCTGATCTTCCTATTTTTTCCTTTCAGGAAATTTGCTCTTGATATTTTAATGTATCCTTTTTGGGATAAATTAAGTCATGTGGTGTATATGCAGGGCTGCAGAACTTGTGTTCCTGGCCACATTCTCTGTGTTTAGCTGTAGCATTGGATACAAATCCTGAAGAGGATTGCTGGAGGTTATGTAATGATAACTTCAGAAGTTACAACAGGACATTCTTCCAAATACTGAGTCAGAGAAACACATTCCTGTACTAAATGCCTATTGAGTTGATAGTTCAATTTAGTAAGTCTTTGTTTACTCTTTAATCCTCAGTGTCAGCTGGAAAACGGAATGTTTTTCCCTAGTAGCCAAGTTAAGGGAGTTGTTTTCTTTTTAGCATTTAGTAGGTAAAAGTGAAATCAGTTTTGCAAGAAAATGTGTTTTATAATCTTTTTTGTTTTGAGATAATATATGCTATGTATGTGTCTATGTACACACAAGAGGGCAATTTATAATGTTGAATAGGATTCCGTTGCTAAAAATTAGAATTTTTTACAAAAAAAAAAATCCTATATATTAAATTGCAGGAGTGATCAACATCATATTGTTTTATAATAGTTATGAAACTAACTGACCAAAAGTTTTCAGGCTCTTGCTCTTGAGGCTGAGATGGAGAAAATTCTTTGAACTTGACTGTCTGTGTAAAAGGGTGCCTGGCTGTTGAGTCAATCCTTTAAAAAATGCATGTCTCACAGCTGGTTAGGAAACAGGAAAGCAGTTACTTTAGCAGTAGGAGATAGAGCTAATGACATCGGCATGATCAAAAGTAACAGCAAATTTAGAATTTAAAATGTCAATACAAATTGTGGTTTATTAATGAATTTGTATTTACAGCAGGGCCATTACTTTTTGAAGAATTACTCTTCCTTTTATGGAAAAAAATAAGACCTACTCTGATCAACCTTTATATTTGGCACTTGAAAGGAGCTTTGACAAAGAAATTAATTAGTTTGTGAGGGGTGAACATAAACTGAGTCAAACCAATGACTAATCCAAGGTCCTATATTTGGCAGTGACCAAGAGCAGGTACTTAGGAGAGAGCAAAGGAAGAGGACAACCATTCCAAATTCCTTGTGCAACTTCCTCCAGTCTCTGCATCTCAGAAAGATGTGTGTTTTCTTGATGGGGTGTTTTTTTTCTTGATGCATTTTGTTTGTTATAATTTTGGTCATATTTAAAAAACATGGTAAATTATAGCTCCCACAAAATCTTCCAAATGGTTATTATTTTCCTAAAATGTATGGTTACTGTTACAAATGTTTGCATTAAACATAAATAATGGACTATGACTGAATGACTTGAACATGTTGCTGTGTTTCTCAAATGGGGGGGCTGACAGCTGCTACTGCTGCCCATTTTATTTGCCACCCATTGCTGAAGTATAGGATGCAGCCCATGTAGCAACAGAGAGAATGAGCAGAGTTCTTGATCCCTGCCTGCTGTCCTGGACATCCTTTTCATTCAAGGCATTGACTGAATACTGCATTAAGTAATTTCAACTGCCATCCTAAAAGCTTAGCTTTTCTTGTTCTTTAAGGAGATTTTTTTTCAGTCAAAAATGGTACATCTTTTTCTATTAGCTGGAGTTTCTTTCATGGTTTTATTTTACTCATGCCTATGTCTTGGGAATAAAAAAATAACCCAAGTTTGTTGCACAAAGATGCAGGTATTTTACCCACTGTTCATTCAAATGCTGAACCTGATGGAACTTCAACTGTTTAGGGGCCATGTGAGCCTCAGAATGTAGTACAAGATACCTGTATTAGGGCTCACTTAATTGCATGCAAGCAGCTCAGAATTAATGGTTCAGGAAAGCAGAGGACTATCATATTAGTCATTATGTTTTGATAGCCTGTAAAATTTCCCAGCTGACTGATGTTCATATTAAGAACACAGTGTGGTGGGATTAGAATATCAGACACTATTAAGCATAGAAATGATTTACACTCAGTTAATATTTGTAACTGCTGTTTATTTTACTGTCAGATCCTTTTTATAGAACAATAGCTACATGAGATTATACAGGAAAATGTAACTTTCCAATTAATTGATGAGCATTCTTAAAATGATATAAGATGACTTCATGATGAAAAATGGCCTGAGTTGTTTGCTTACATTATTTCATCTTGTTCCTACTAGCTTTGCCCTATAAACTTGTCAGAGCCTTAAATTCCAGCAGCATATTGTTAAAGCAAGAGAAATAGCAAAATAGGCCTCCACAAAATATTCAAGGAATGGATTGTTCTGTAACAGTTGTATTTTATGTTTTGCTATGGCCACCTAGGTCTGGAAAGGGCTATAATTAGTATCGAGATAGGTTGCATTTTCTTATCTGTTTTGTGGGAAGAAGAAACAATGCAAAGGGGATTTAAACAGGATGTGTAAAGAAAGGAAGAGACACTGGCGAGACACTGGCTTAGATAAAAAGTAATCATAGCAATAAATTATTTTGCATAGGTTCCTTCTTAACCCTCCCTTGTGGGATGAGAGGGACTGTACAAACTGAGTCACAAAGGCAAGTGTTGATGTGAACTTTGATGAACACTTCTGGCGCTTATTTCAAATTTCCTGAAATCTAAGCTAATGCTTTCCATTGACAGTAATTATATCTATTGTCTGAAACTGTCTATGCAGTAGCTTAATACCCTGACATCTGGTTTTCAGCTGTTCAGTAGAAGTTTCCTCTCTTGGCTTGCAGGTGTATACATAGGAGTTGGCATCAGTGGCTAGGAAGGAATGGAAGCAGCCTTGGCCAATGACTGACAGCCCAGCTCAAATACCTCCAGGGGATCTTGGAGATTCCAGGCAGGCATTCCTGTTTGAAAATATGCAAGTTCTTATGTTTTCTTCCACAAAAATTTTGCTTTTGAACTGCTGTGTTTCTGCTCTGTCATCTGTGACTTCTCTACTCAGGTTTGTTTCTGGTTTTTAAGTTTATAAGTGAGCAAAACAGTGACTTGTACTCTTTAGATACCTAGACGTTACTAGCTGTCTGAAGAATGAGTTAAGCAATCTAAATATTTAAGTACAAGAGTTTTGGAAGTTAAAAAAATTAATGTTTCTTTTTCTGTTTTGAAAACATAAATGTATCTGACTGCAGTTACTATACTTAATGATTGCCTTAATTTTCCCAGTTTGTTGACACATACTGTTTTCATGTGTTATACACTTCTGCCTCTTACTTAGAAAGAAAAGAGAACCATATGTTGTGCTTTAATGGTAAATCCCAGGGATTGTCTGTGTGGTTGCAAGGGGTGTGTAGATAAGCCGTGACAAAATTACTGCCCCTATCTAAACTACATCTACCATAGAAGATATCCAGTAAGTAATTCTGTAATTCTCCTAAAGTAAAGAGCTGTCTTGATATCTCATGCTTTTTTAGGGACTACTTAGGTTTCTTACTTTTTTTTATGCTTGCTCTATAAGCATTTTTATTCAGGAAACATTAAGGCTTTTGAATCCATAAAAACCTGCAACTTATGCTTGAGTGAATATTTGAGGCCAGCAGATATGTTGTTACATCAGCTTTGGGCACTTGGGGGATTAGGTTTATATCTTTGATTCAGACTGTCACATCACACAGCTAGCTTGGGCTAGGGCTCTTTGCAGAGACTTAGAGATAATTGCTGTGGACAGGACTCTGCAATATCAAATGGAGTGAGAGAGAGCCCCCATAACTGCTTCAATGGGGTCACTGAATACACTGGCCATTCTGTAAGCTCTACTGCTAGGTGATGTTGTAGCTGCACATTGTTCTGAAGGTCTGTGCAAGAGAAGAAACTGCTGCTCGTGTTCCGATCTTCTTGCTTTGACACTTAATTCAGTTATGGACAATTTTTCTTAAAGTTTTTTTATGACAGTGTAACTTTATTGCCCTGATTTCTCCTGTTTTGTGATAAATGGATACAGTACAGACATTACTGCAGACATTTTTGGCCTGTATGAGATGTAAGGGGTGAAAACCATCTTATCTGCTAGTGTTAAACACCATCAACTGTAAAGAAGGCATAGTTAACAAATTTTTTTTTGTCTTTGTTCATATTTAAAGACATTGACTGGTAAAATCCAGCTGAGTAAGATCTGCTTATGCTTTTTCTTATCAAGAGTATTATGGGAAACATAACATCTGGAAGGAATATGTATGTCAGTAAGTCACATTTATCCTCAGGGTTATTGAGGACCATGCAGAACACCACTAGTGTATTGATAATTTACTTAAGGGAGCAGTAGAGATACTGAGTTGTTCTAGTAGTGACAGAAATCTGAAACATTGACTTTGACAGGAAAAAACCCAATTTTTTTCAGCTGTTTATTTTGTAAAGTATCTTCACATGTAAGAAATAAAGTCAGATAAATCACTTGGCCCCTTTCTGCAGATTAAAATTTTCATCAAAATTAATGTGACTATATAAGGAAAAAATTCAAGTGTTTGGTAAAGTTTTTCTGAAATTATACATTTGGTTATTAATTGGCTACTTGCACTTTTAAAATAATTCCATAACAAATTCCTTTTGTGGTATAAAGCAGCTGCTCAGGATTAATGTCACGTCAACGTCTCAGGATGCAGGAAGAGGATGGATGAGTAAAGCTAAAACCTCAAATGTCAGTAAGCTCTTTATTTTCACAACAGAAGACTTTTGCAAGTGATCAAAACAGCTGTCAGGTTAGATGAAGAAAAAAACCAATGACTTGAACACTATTGCCTTACCGGTGGCTTCTTTTTTTAAAATTTTTTTATACATATAGAAAAATATATTTTCTTAATGGCACATTGGCATGAACTGACTAGGAACTGATTGCAATAGCAAGGATTGATCATCATCTGGTTTACTTGCTGAGCACTTTGACATCTAATCTGGCTCATTGACACTGTTTTCTTACTCCTTGTTGCCTTATACAAGAGAGATGCAAGCAATCCATTTGATAGCAGTGGGGTTTTATTACTGCCAGTTAATGGAATATTTAGGACTATCCAATGGGTTTTCTTTAGAAGGCTAATCACGACACGAAAGAATGGAAGGGGAAAAAGTCTGTTCCTGTCTTTGGGAAGGGAGAGAAAGTAGATACAGTGTTACAGATAAGTGAACTTTACCTCAGATCCCATAAAAACAAATATTTGTAAAAAAACCCAAAAAACAACACAAACCAACGTGATTAACAGTCAGAACAAATTTTTCTAGGGAAATTATACCAGTCTGGTTTAATTTGGTTTAATTTCTGTCTGCTATGGCTTTAGCCCTTCTCCTCTGTGACTAGAGGAGAAGCAGTGGGACATACATCTCAACTCTGATATTCACATAAGCAGGCTGGTAAAACTTTGTGTTGATGCATCTTCTGTCAGGTGGGTACTAGTGTGTTTTGTAGGAGTATTTGGAGGCAGGTGTCAATGCTTCTTTAACTGGGAAGTTAACTACTGAGGACTGGTGGGAGTTAGTCCTGGGTTAGGTGCTGCTTAATATTTTGATTAGTGATCTGGATGATGGAATAAAGACTCAATCACTGAATTTGCATTTGAGATGAAGCCGAAGAGCACAGGTTTTATTATAGGATAAGATTTAAATTGAAATTTACCTATGCAAGTTTTGAGGTCCTCTGAGAAGGGAAAAAGAATACAAATAACTGGCATGATGGCAAGCTCCCACATAGAGTGTTTAGGAGAAATCTGCTGCCTACACACCATGATAGCAACAACTGAGTAACAGTTCTGTAGAAAAAGGTCTTGATGTTGCAGAGATTCAGTGTGACTTGACAGTGCTGCGAAGCCATGGGGAAGGGAGCCACCTTATGGTGTCCTACCATTAGTATGGCCAGGCTTGGTTGTCACATTTAAGGGAAGGTGTGGACCAGATCAAGAGAATTATTCACCAAGGTGAAGGATAAGAATGACTGAGTGCTTAGGAAATATGACTAACAAGGAAAGACAAATGGAACTGCATTTTCTTCACTGAAACTTTTACATCAGTTCTTTGATATGTAAAAGTCTGTTGCAAACCCAAAATAGATGGATGTCTCTTGTGAAGATGTATAAATGCAGATAAATTCAACTAGGTACTTGGTAAATTAAGATAGAGGGAAATGGAATACATTTCATAAGATATTGTAGTGTCCATAGTTCTTGACATTTCCAGGAATTTCATACATAGACTTGATACTATCTTGGGCCAGAAAATGGTCTCAATTGTCTTGAGTGCTTTCAAGTCCTAAGACTTCATGAAAATAGTTGTATTTACTTACTGATGTTATTGGTTAACATTTGGTCTCAATCTTCAATGATTTTATGTTAGAAAATCTGTTTCATATGATATGTTTGATTCTTGGGGAAAGGAACACCTGTACTGATGATGATTTATGAACAAATTAGCACACCAGGTCAGTGAAAGTACATTTGAATTGGAGTGGTGTACACACATAGCTGTGTGATGTATCAGTGTAACCCTGGATAAGATCTGGTGTCCCTGCTAACCTGAAATAAGGATGAACTCTCATGTTGATCACTACTTCCAGAAAGTAAAATATTTACATTAAAAGATAGAAGTAGCACAAAGTGAGAATGGAGAAAAGACACTGTTACTTATAGGAACACGGAGAGGAAGTAGAGCTTCTTGATGTTTTATTGTTCATAATCCTGTAATCTTGCTAGATCTCAAATTGCTTCTGGGTGTCAACTTCTTTAGCCAAAAGGTGTTTCAGCAAGGTAAATTACTTTAAAAACTATGTAATCTGTGTCCTTTGCACCTTGAATAAAATAATGCATTGGAAGAAAAATTAATCCCACCCCCTATTTTGCTTTCTGCTAAGACTTTCCATTGAATTTGTAGTAAAAAAGATAGCAAGTTATTTTTTTTAGCATGATTTCATTCCAATACCAACCAGAAAGGTGACAGTAACTTTACCACTAGCTATGAAATCTGTAGTCATTGTACATGGAATCTGTAGAGTTAGACCATTTAAAAAGGCTAAATTATCTGTGGAATAAACAAAATTTAACTTTCTATACCTATTTTATTAAATACAGCAATCGCAGCTCAGACGTTAGGTTTTACAATAATATACAGGATGTGGTGATGTTGTAAGAAGGTATTATTCATTTATCTTGGGAAAAATTGAGAACAGATCTTGCCCAATATAGGAATTATTTTGAAAAAACCCTGAACAGCCGAAAACCCCCAAGCCCAAAACATATCTCTGTCTCTTTCATTCATAGTTCATGAGTTCCATTTTTTACTGTGAAGCAGAATGATTTCAGTAGATTTCATGTTTAATTGGCTGAGTACTCTTCTGTAAAAGTGAATGCTTAAGAATTTCCCCTCAGAATCTGTCTATCCATGTGTTTTGCATAGTCCTTCTGAAGAGATTATTCCCAAAAGAAGTTGCTTTCACAATACTGTTGGTGTGCTTAGGGATTATACATCCTTTTTGGAGGGGAGACACAAGGGATGCATTAAATGTTAATATTTCCAAAAGTTTGGTATGACATAGTTACTGTCAGAACATTTGTATTGTAACAGTCTTGTATTTACATATTGCTGTTCTTCCACATGAACAATGCTCATAGAATACTATTTTTTCTCTTACAATTACTCAGTGTGCAGTTGGTTTGTTTTGCAGAAAAATGTTGACCATGACTGTGTCTCCCTAGAAGAGAATTCTTCTCCTGAAGAAAGCTTGACATATGAGAGCTGAAACACATTGTGAAAATGTTTTTCCTTCTGATGAAAGTACTTGAACATAGCTCAGGATCTGCATCTAAAAAATGATGAGAATTAGTTAAATTGAATCCTACTCATCCATGGCTCAGACTGGGC